TTCATATCTAGAGGAGGACCAGAACCTCAACGGGACTGTGACCACCACTCCCGACCGGACTGCGACCAGCAGTCTCACCAGCAGGTTTTCCCTCTCCTTTTACGCTGAACTCAGGAGGACCACGTGGGGCTCAGCACGGGGGTCAATGAACACCATTCTGTTAGTGCCCCAGGGTGCTGGGTCATACATCTGAGTTTTGTGGATTAAAACCAATTGTCTGTCCATATAATTGTATTTATGATATTATTTTTATTAAGTTGTAACTGACTTATAATCTCTTTTGAGTTGGGGTTCATTTCTCCTGCCAGTTTACCTTTAAACCAGTACAAAGCTATCTCAAGATTCACAATACTCTGAACAATGCAGTGATTAAACTTCTGCTATTCTTTGAAGAACATGCAAAAACCTCAGCATTGGTTATGCAATGCATGCCAAGAAATAAAAATTTTTGTGGTGCCATACAAAGCCATAACCATAATCTGAAATTCACCTCTTCTAAAAATCAAGGCAAGAAGTCTCACAGCATATCTGGAAAGCTAGCAATCCAAGTCCCAGCAGAAATACAGGCATTGACTTCCAAAGATAAGACCTAATGGCCAGATAGAGTTCTTAAGAAGGTATAAAGAAAAATTGACTTGCTGTGATCATGCTGAGAAGCACAAAAACTAACAAACACTTGAAGGTTAGCTGTGCTGATGTATGAATCTTGCTGACCAAGGTCCTGCAGACATAGAAACACTGTTTGGTAGCTGGAGTACAGAAAAGAGATGCTATGCCATGGACTGAACAGGAACTTCAGTAAACAGACCATCAAGAAGTATTTCAACAGAATATTAGAGATTTTACATATGTATATACACACACAGACAAAAGATCTAAATATCAAAATATAGTCCAGTGTGACTGCTCACCAGAAGAATATGTCATCTCAACAGAATCTTGCACTGGATTTAACCTTGTCCTATACATTGCATAGATAAAGAAATTCCTCTTAATTTTCATGCATACAGTCAAGTCATTTTTCACACATATAATCTGCATAGTTCATCATTCTTAAAGTGAAAATTCTACACAAGCCTCTGGATAAACCACAAGGTAGAAACACTAGGCTTGCTGTGTTCACTGAGTATGATTTCAAATGATGAGCCAGATTTTTTTACTCACTTCTATGCAAAGTAATCTACTTCTACGTGATTCCTTGTGATTGGAATACTATTTAACAGGACTATTGATGGATACGGTTTAGCAATGAGAATTAAATTCTAGAGCACATTAAAATCTGCTTAGGCGATCTTAACCAATTATGCACTGATTAACTCTAGAGTCCCAGGCAGGTATCCAAGGTGAAAGAATGCTATGAGAACACAGAGGAAACACTGAGATGTTGCCGAATGATGTAGGACGGGAAGCTTTAGGAAGGATAAAAGGAGTTTAGCCTTGGGGGAAAAAAAAGTCCACAGGCTCCACTCTGTTTTCCTCATAGCTCCACAGCAAAGAACTGTGTGCACCGAGGTGGCGAGTGACAGACACCTGATAAACTCCAGCTACACCAGCGTGGCTGTCAGGCACCAAGGGACTTGCTGCCAAACACTGAAAGCTTAGACAGCACCACAAGTACTAGATGCACCAAACCCAAAACACAAAGGAGTAAAGCTAACATTCTGCCCTTTTGCCAGCACATCTGAAAAGAAAAATAACAATGTAAAGAAACAATGTTGACATTTAATTTGTCAATATACCTTGGAATTATCACCCAGATAAAGTGAGAACAGTGGATTGGTTGAGGCTCAGAATTAACAACTGAAATGACCAGAAACTTTAGAGGGGAAAACTCATGCCCTGTACATAAGCATGGAGTGTGCAGAAATTCCAGTCACAGAGATCTTCTATGCAATGGTGACAGGACTCTCACAGCTAGATGAAATAAATATCAAGTTTTGCAATATTGATTGAAGAAGGGATATCATGTAATATCCATCTTAATTTGACTGTCCTTGTATACCTCTGTGCTGGTTTAAAGGTAAACCAGCAGGGGAAATGAACTCAACTCAAAAGAGAGACCACAAGTCAGAATAACAATTTAATAAAACAACACAAGTATGATTATACAGACAAACAACCGGCTTCAATCCACAAAAACCCAAATGTACAACCCAGCACCCTGGGACATGAACAAAGTGGTGTTCCCTGGGCCCCCCCTGAGTCCAAAGTAAAGGGAGAGTGGAAAAACCTGCTGGTGGGAGAGCTGTTGCAGTCCAGTCAAAATGGTGATTGCAGTCCAGTCAAGGGTGGTGGTCTCAGTCTGGCCGAGAGTGGTGAGCTGCAGTCCTCCTCTGGATCCCACGAGTGGTAAAAAGGTTCCAAAACTCCAAGTTTATATATCCTCCAGTTCAGGCAGGAATGCTCAGTCCTTCCCTCAGAGCGGGGAATTCCATAAAAGGGTGTGAGGACAGGAACATCTACAGGCCTCTACTGCTAACAATCTCTGGGAAATGGCATGGAAGGCTATAGAATACACAGTTTTG